CAAAATAAATAATATGGATCTGCACCCTCCACCCATCTCTGGGACCGCTTTAGGCCCAGCGGCATAACCGGGGAGAAGCCCAAACGTACCGGAGGGCCCGAGTTGAAAAATGCAAAATATCCGCGGCTCCTCATCCGCCGCTGCCGAAAGCAGAACCCCCCCCCCCCCCCCCCCCCCCCCCCCCCCCCCCCCCCCCCCGCCCCGCCGCTCCCCGCCCCGCAGCCGCCCCGCACGGCACCGGGCACCGCCACCACCGCCCCATCCTCACCCACCCCGTCCTTTTCTCACCTCGGGAGTCTGAGCCCATTCACCAAAGTCCTTCCTCGTCCAGGCTCTCAAAATCTTTTTTTTTTTTTTTTCTCCTTTTTTTTTTTTTTTTTAATTTCGAAAAAGGGGGAGTGGAAGGGGAGGGGAGGACTGGGGGGGGAGAGCAGACATAGCTGCATGAAGTGGCTGCCTTTTAGAAAGCACATTTAATCTTTACTGGCTCCCCTAGGCTTCGATGAAGTAGAAGGGAAAGGAGAGGAGAGGGGGAAAGAAAAAATACAGGCAAGGGAGGCTGTTGAGGGACAGCAAGCATCAGGCTCAAATCAACGACCAGATGAAAATGTACTAGACCACACTGCCCCCTCTCTTCCTCTCGCTCTGTCTCCGTCTCTCTCACACACTCTCACTCCTGGAAAGCTTCAGTGTCTGGTTACAGACTCTTTTGGATCCTTCCCCCCCACCCCCCCCACCTCCCCACCCTCGCCCTTTGCCAACTATCCTAGAGATTCCTTGCATGCCTACTTAAATCTTTAATAGAATAAGGACCCGGCTCCCCCCCCCCCCCCCCCCCCCCCCCCCCCCCCCCCCCCCCCCCCCCCCCCCCCTCCCCAATAATCCCTTAAGCTCCCGGGAGGAACCGCCGCGGCCGCCCCGGCCCCGCCGCCGCCGGGCAGCCCCTGCCTGCGGCCCCGGGACCCCGCCGGCACCTTCCCGAGGGGCTGAAGGGAGAAAAAGGGGGGTGGGGGGGGTGGGGGAGATGGGGGGGTGGGAGAAGGAAAGGGGGAGTGGTGGGACCGCAGCTCTCCGCCGAGCATCCCTCTGGCTGGAGCTGGATTTTAAAACAATAAAATCCACCGCTGCTATCTCGCTCGCTCGCTCGCTCGCTCCCCCCACTCCGTTCCCCTCCCCGCCACACTGCAGCCCGCAGCCGCCCGTGGAAATCGCACGCCCCGCGTCTGCGTGGAGGCAGGCGGACCGCCCGGCTCCTGCCCGCCGTGACTTTAGAGCTGACGATCTCCTCTCCTCGACCCCCACCCCTCCACACCCACCCCCTTGCTCGATGGCAGAGCCGCTGCCTCTCGCACCAGACTATATTTGCAATATGTGCTAATTTACCAGCTAGATGCCCTTGGATTTTAAAATGAACTCATCAGTCAATGTTTCTAGGACCGATGCTGCTCTCTCCTCACACACACCCTCCACTGCAGACATGTTACTCATTCTCCAAGCATTTCCTCCCCGAATGTCCGTCAGACGTATATACACTTCATTGATCAAACCAAATCCCTTGATAACAATAAATAATAATACAGACAGTTAACATCAGCGGGGAGCGGAGCGGGGGGGGGGGGGGGGGGGGGGGGGGAGACAAAGATGACGACTAAATCTGCATTGTGCTCTGCAGGGCTGATGCCTGCAGGGATGCAGAACGCAGGTACGCCCCTAAAGATGGGCACAGCCCTGGTCAGAAAGCATCACCTGAGACTCCCCCCCCCGAACCACGGGGCGGGGGGCACCGATAATAGCCAGAACCGGACCCTATCCAGGCTGCTTCAGTGGGAACCGCAGGGGAAAAAAAGCACCTAACGCTGCCACGGAAATAAATAAATAAGGCAGCTCCTTTGTTAGGCTGGGCGCTGTGCAGGTGCTCAGCACTGCAGCGTTAAGGGCATCCTGTGAGGCCAGACATCCCGAAGCCGCACGGTGGGATTTTCAGAATCATCTTCGCTCCCACTTACATCAATTTCCTTTGTGCTGCAGACAGCGAGTCCCGGTGTGAGACACCAGGTTAGGAGGACAGGCTATTCAATATCCCTCTGTTCTAAGCCAGGTATTTCACAGGCTTTGGTTTCTGGGCTCTCGGGGCTTTATTTCCTATTTCCCCCGGGGCTAAAACGGGGCAGGCAGGACAAGCTGCCTCCTGGGATTTTGGCTGGCTTGGCGTCTTGTGTGGGTCTGGCAAAGAGAAAGTGACTGCAGTGTAAGTGTTCGGGAAGTTGGGGAGGGTGGGGCTATCTAGAAATCTTTGACTCACTGGGGTAACTCCCTGAACGCAGGAATTAAATTATTACTCAAAGCGAGTTACATTTTACGAGCAGCAGCCCTGGAATGAGATTCTGCATGCATACAGAGTTTGAAACAACTAAAATAAACGTATGGAAAATATATATACAATGCATAATTCAATTATTGGGTGCAATGCAGAAGTCCCTGAGTGACAGAGGAGGGGGAATTATGCAGTAAAGGCAGCCCAGGAATCCATGCATACAAATTTTCTCATTTATACCAACACAACCCCGACTGACATCAGCCTGGATAGGGGAAGAATCAGACTCTATGTACTGAGGGATCTAATCTTTGGGAAAAGCAGAGGATGAGAAAGACTGCATCCACCAGCCATCCTCTCCCTCCCCTTCCAGATTCCATCCCCAGCATCATAGCTGTGTGCAAGATGTTGCCATCACAGAGGACAATTTACATCCATTGTCCTGTCTGCGTTCCCCTCTTCCTTCCAACAACAAAAAAAGTTTGCTTTTTTTTTTTTTTCCTTTTAAGTTTTGCTGCAAACACATAATTTCTTTACACAATTTAACCAAGTCTTTGGAGGATACTTATTTCAAGCAGTTAACACCTGACCCCAATTTTTGTGGGTAATTAGTGAGCTAGATAACCACACAAAGTGGGTAATTATTTAGTACCCAAGGGTACTGTACAAGAGGGTAGAGGCTGGCAATGTTAACAAAAGCACATCTCTAATTATTGTATCTATACTGGCGATGTTTTAAGAATAGTCACTCCATCTAATGATCCATGATAAATCAGTAAACTATTTTGCTTCCCTTAGCATATATGCCTGGTCTAATGAAGGGCAGAGCAAAGCCAAGCCCCAGCTCTGGACCACGTGCAGCCACCAAGAGAAGCAAAAGGCATCCAGCTGGAGGAGTCAACGCGATGGGCAGAGCCAGCAGCATGGCTGGGAGCTCACAGGTTAGTTAAGGACTGGAAAAGCCATGCAGGGAGATGTTTGCCTACCTCTTGCTTAGGCCTTGTGGCCACGCTGGGCATCTCTGCACACAGCAAGAATCCCAATCGTGTCGTAACACAGCTCTGTCTTGCTTATTGCAAATGGCACCACAAGCGGGCTGCTCTGAGCCTTGTGGAAGGTCAGGGCTGGAAGGTAAGAGGGTAGCACTGAAAGAAAACCCAACTCCACAACTAAAGCATGAAACTAAGCATCAAACTAAAGTTTGATGAATTTCAATTATTTGCCATCTCCGGTACGTAAATTTCAAAGAAGCACATTTCTCCCATGGAAAATATTACAATAGATGTTCTTCACAGATTTAAAAAGGAAGGGATGGGAAGTATTTTGAAGCAATGGCTAACTAAGGAAAATTCAGCTACCGAAAAAAAATAAATAAATAAAAAATCAAGAGTTTTGCATGAGAACCAAGTGAAAAGAAGAGTTATGCTGGAAACAGATTGGTTAACCTTAAGCACAGCGGTCACTTACCCACTGCCCACTGTCTGCAGCATTACACATTCCTAAGGACATCTTCAAGACATTACGCTCAGCTGCAAGGCACTTTCCTTTTTTAATTGCTTTTTATGAATCATCTCTAACATCCGGACACTTTATTTACTAGAGGCCAGCAATTTTGTTTTTCAAGGACTTAAACTCCAGCACCTCAGGGCCTCCAGGCTGGCACGAAAAAACAGAGGCATCATCCTCTTGTGGTCAAAGACATGCATTTAACTCTGCTTGGGACCGTGCAAGCCAGGCACTATAGAAGAAAACACAAATGGCAGCATCACCTGGCACTGGGAGTGCCAGGAATTTGCAATTAAACAAAGTTTGAGGGGTTTCCCTAACTCTCCACATCTCTCTTTGGTTCTTTTTTTCCTTCCCCCACCCAGCGAAGTGCAACTGAAAGCGGCCTGAAAATTGGTCTTGCCTTTAAAAAGGGACCAAATCTCCACGGTCCGTTTGTTTCTGAGCACACCTGTTCATCTTACCAATGTGAGCAGGTCAAAAAGGAAAAAAATAACCTTGCCAAAACTGGGGATCAGCTCAGAGCAGCTGTGCAGCAGACACCTGTCCGCTCTGAACCGCACCAGAAGATTGAAGCTCCTTTCATGTGCTACAGGCCATTTAATAATCCAGCAACTTACAGTGTTTGGCTGCTACCATGCTGAGGTGAGTATAAATAAATTGGTATCCCCTTCACTAATCCTCTTAGGGACCCGGTTTGCGGGAAGAGTTCTCACAGAAATGGAGTGAGAGCCATTTTGCAGAGAGAAGCTGGAAAACAGAAAGGAAGAAGGAATTTAATCACGGACACGGGTTCAAAGCAGACCTTGGTAGGTGCACAGTTGGAGCAGAAAGCAGAGTGCAGACAAACTATGACGATTTTTTTCTGAAATGAATTGGAATTAGAGGTTCAAAGGAGAAAACGCATAAGGGAAGGGAGGCTCAGCCAGAGGGGATGCTTTAGGGACTTAAGCATGAACTATAAAACCTTGAGGTGTTTTTGAGACAAGTCAGTAACTTCGCTACAGACCAACTGAGATCTTTTTTATTTTTCCCTCAAAATAAAATTGGTAATTTTGCCACACCGACACCATTTTGGAAATATCTGTAAAATTATCAGTTCTGCCTCAGCTAAATGGGCAGCAAACATGAGAAGAGATGAGAAGAATTTTAAGAAACAATAACACGTCTTCAAGGGAGTAAAAAACATCTGCCAATATAAATGAAGAATTCTAACAGTGATTGAGGAAAGGCACATCCATGGCAAAAAAGGCTGGGTGAAGCATCCTGCTTTGGGCATGACCAGAACAGCCCTCTAACTACCAAGTGAGGAGTTGGGCAACAGAAGGCTTCCAATTTGAAGTCTTGTACAGCATCATCCAATTTCACACCAAGGCAGTTTTTCACCTCTTCCTCCCCTTCTTCCCCATATATAAAACCATCACATCAAAGCTTACCATGTCCACAGAGAGTTGTGAGGTCCTTGGAAGAAAGCTGCTCTGTCCAGATTACTCTTGTTATCCTCAACCCTGTTAGTTGACAAAAAGGATGCAGTATGGCTGATGGTCCTAAAACTCCATTTCATCCCCAATAAATCCTTTTAACCCAACCCACCCATCAGCTCTCACCTGCAGACCCAACAAGGTCTATCCTGACAGCGATTCGGCATAGAGAGGGGATGGTTGTATTTTTTCTACCTGACTCCAATTCTGCTGACATGTTTCTAAAAGGTTGTTTGAGCTCCGAATCTTTCAACCTCTAGATAATGGAGGACAGTTAAAATAATACATTATTTTATGGACTAAGCCATATTTTTTTATGGACAAAGCCATGAAACAATTTATCCTAGGGTGAGAAAAGCAAGGAAAAAGCTAAATAAGGCAGAGTTGTTCACTTCCAGGCACGGCAGTTTTGGAATTCTGCATCATTCCGTGCAGAAACCAAGTTTGGGAAAATGGGAAGGGTTCAACAAAAGGTCAGTGGATGTAACAGAGATTAATTCATTCACTATCAAAGAAAAAGCATGAGAAGCAGGAACGCAGTACCTGGAGTTATGTGTGTTTTGTCCATGGGGAGTTTCCAGTCTGCCTTCGGATGTGAGCTCTTCTGCACATACTGGATTTAACCAAACTCCAAAACTCAAGACGAAACTTGAACTCGTTTGGATGAAGTCACGCACTGATGTTTAACATCTATTCCTGCATGATTTGCCATTTCCATACCACATCAAGCACCTGAAAACCCTCGTATTTCACATGGCTTCTGGTCCACCAGGAGTTTCGCTTAAGGCTTGATTCACAGAAAACATGACCACAGCTCCAAGAAACTCACTAACATTTCAGATAAATCTAATTGCTTCTGAGCTGGTGGTAATACTCCTTAAGATCTGAGGTCCCATACCAACAGTCTGACAGATTTTTAGGCACTTCACTTACTAACTGATGGAGTTTTATTAGTCTGTTAACCTATGGTGAACGTTTAACGCTTTTTATTTAAATCTGTTTGAAATTTAAATAGAATCAATGCATGAAAAAGGTGATGTCCCTTAATTAATCAACTCTTTTTCTTTTTTTCCTCTTCCCCTAGAAGTCACTAAAAGCAAAACACAGACTGAGAATACTCAATTAGAATCTAAACGACTGAACCCAGATCCAACGTCAGTAACAGGCACAAAGTTTAGTGACATTTTAGGAATCTGACCCAGCAGGAAGAGTAGAAAATTAAATTAAAATTAGAAATCCATGAAGCTAAAACCGGAGCTAGAAGGAATTATATTTCAATAGGCAAAAAGTGTACAGGTCACACTGTACCGAGATGGAAAGCCTCGCTTGCTGCCTGCTGCAGTCCAGAGATCTATTATTTCTCCTCCATGAAGCCACTGTGGATCCCCAGTCTGCGCCCATTTTTTCCCTGCATAAAACCAAAATAAGTAACATATCTATTTCGTATGAGAAAGAAATATCTCTGAGCCATAATTTATGTTTGTAGAGAGCCCTGATAGGTTATAAGGAGCAGAAGGACCTCGGAGCAGAGTCATCCTACACATCCCCCAGACCTCCTGTCACAGCCTTTTTCACCAGCAATGACTTTCTTTTTAAAGAGAGGCTGGAGTTATTTCAAAGATAAACAAAAAATTGTTTTCCAGGTGTTCTTGTCCTCCAGCTATGGCCCACGCTTGCCACAATTTGAAAAAATAAAATAAAAATTAAACAAAGGGAGGCATATTTCTCCCAACAGCAACGAAAATATTTGTCTCATCTATTGCTTAAGAGTTAAACCAAAAGGTAGAAGACCAAAATATTTTTGGTGGTGGTGACAGTGGTGAGAATTCATGAGGTCTGTTCCTATTCCCAGCACTGCCACTCGACGTGCTAAGTGGCTTGGGTGAGTTTCTCCATCTCTCTGTGTTCCCTCTCCTGCTGGCCTTATCTGCTTAGACTGCAGCTCCTGGGGACAGGGAGCCTCTTCTCACAGAGCATCTACAGGATGCCAAGCCATTTAGGTCCCGCTGTCAGACAAATAATAGGATTGGGAACCTGAACACAGGGGAAGGCTGAATGCAAGTCCTGTTGCCCTTACCTTTGGTGAAACTGGACACAGAGCTCTTAAAGTATTATAACTTGTTTTTGCTGGTGTTGAGAACACTAAAAAGTAGAAGGCCACATGTCAGAGGTGTGTGACAGAGAGCACGAATGTCACAACGTGGGGAAGATGCAGCAGTGTCTGAGGACTTAGGTTTGGGCCAGCAGACGCTGCTCAGTCTCTGCATGCCAGAAATAGCAGCAGGATGCAAGCAGAGCAGCCAGTCTCCCCACTCCTGGTGCCAGTCTGTACTTCTGCATCACTGAACATTGCAGTGCAGGCTCTGTTACATCCTAAGTTTAAATTCAGTTGTTTTCACAACACAGAGACAGCGTAACATTTGTATGAGGTAGAAAACGAGGGAAACAATCCGAATACGAGGTTACTTAACCTATTATGACAATAAATGACATTCTTTAAATAGGATTTTCGAAGTATAACAACATCCTTTTCGAGCTGATTGTGTTCTTATCAGTGTAGTATTCGATTATAAATATTGTCAGCTTTAAGGCTGTATAGCTAATGAATGTATATGTCAGCGTGGCAGCAGCCCATATGAAATCTATCTTCATACAGATATACAGTATGCTCACTTGCAGTTCCAACACGACATGCAGCATGGCAGACTGAACAGTTCACATATGAGCTGCACCTCTTCTCCGTTAGAAGGACCTCCATTTAAGAGACAGTGAGTAAAAACAAAGAAAAATAAGCGACTCATCAGAGATCCCACAGGAAGTCTGGTGCAGAACTTCAGGATCTGCACCAACAGTTTAATCAAAGAAATAAATCCTTCCATGATAATGGCAGAGGCTGTGCACAGCAGCCTTCTCCCCATTAATAATAAAACAAGACAAGCCCCACGAGCTGAGCACAAACAAGAATCCTTCACACTGGAGAGGACTGTAAAATTACAAAGCTAATTCACCTGATGCCCGAGAGAAATCTGAACTCCTGTTTCCCAGGAGCAAACTCATGCCAGGCACAATAGTGAACATCCACTCCTGGGTGCCTGCAGCTGCAGAGAGCCAACATTCCGAGCCTGGTGCACAGAGGAACCCTTCCCAAACTAACTGACACTGGGATGGCTGATTAGCAACACCCAAGTTTTACAGCTGACCCACAGATAGATTCCAGCTCTGAGCTAGAGGGGGTTGTCCACATGCAACCAACTGCAGCAGTCGGTCCCACGTCATTATTTGATCACTTTCCTGCTCAATTACCATTTTTTTTAACAAAGAACAGACAATCTAGCAATGGAAATCCATTCCTTGAACAACTCCTGCCATTTTTCTCAGATGTAATCTATTGCTATATCAGCCATTCCCAATTAATATGGGGCCCCCATGGGAAAGCCACTGCCTGTCTACTGATTCCATTTCCTAGATCTCCTCTTGTTAAAATCACAATTCAACTCTCCAAAACGCAAGGGCAAAAGATCCTTTGTTTTATCTTCGCAAGATGACAGTGTTTTTTCCCTTGCCATTTTCTTGCAGGAAGATGTATTAGCACTACATTTGCTCCTCCGTGCGGTGGGATTTCTTAAATAAAAACGTATGTTATATATGTATGGACTTGGAACCGGAGCTGCATTAGCCTATTAACTATCCACATTTGCTTCAGACTTGGCCAGCCACCTAGAAAACCTGCCAAGACCTTTCTGGCAGCCTTTTCCCAACAGTTCCAGGAAAACATGGAATATTCAAAGAATTTTAGGGCCTCCCGGCTTCGTTTGTCACCACTCTCCTTGCCCACTTATTACTAAATCACAGGCAAATTGCTCTAATGCCCCATTAAAGATTTAAAAGCAGCCTTCCCCACAGCAGGGTATACGAGGACAAACCCACACTCACACTGAAGAAGGAAGAGACTACAGGTCTCTAATTTTGACATGAATTTCTGAGTGATCCTTTAGGAAATAAAGCCACCAGCACAGGGCCCTGATGATTTATTGCAGCACTGCATTTAGAGCTCACTGCCCAGTGCCATGGATGATAGAACCCTCCAAACAGAAGTGATTCAGCATCACTACCAACACAGCAAGCAGCAGACCCTGATTGTATTTTTTCCACTGAACCTACACTGTTTAATTTCTTATTCAGTAACTATTCTCACATACAAATGAAGGGAAACACGTGACTGAAATATCTTAGCTCCCTTAATCATAAGTTCTCCTCTCACATTTCAAAAGCCACTGGGAAGGCAATTTCCAAAATCAACTCAAACCACAAGATCTGTAGCAGATAGCAATTGTGCCTTGCCTTCCCCCCTTCCCGTTTCCTTCCCGTTCTTCCTTTCTTCCTCATTCTTTTTTTAAGATCCCGTCTCCAAATCTAACAATTTCACTTATGGGAGGAAATAGAAAGCCAAGGGGAAGCTGTGGCATTTGTCAGACTACAAACAGCACTATTGCAAACCACTCTTGAAGCCACAACTGCTACTCCTCCTCAGACGAGATGAGCAGCCACTTCAAACACAAGGAAAAAACCCAGCCCTTTAAAATACACCCACATCAGGGGCATTAACCCAGGAATGGGTTTGACCTTCTGCTTGCAACAATTATTTCAACTCACTAAGGCCAAAGAATACAGACTGTTTGCCTACAGCATTCAGGGACTGAATGGAGCGACCCCAAACCTCGTACCAAGCTGAGAGCCACGGATTTCCAAGCAGCACGATTAGGAAGAGCCAGCTTCACCTGCCTCTGTACCCCTTACTGTACACTGGTCACATAAACCTTCCCCATCACACACAGAAGCTGTGAGGAGCTGCAGGTGGACCATGCTGTCGGGTAATTATTATCAATATTGCTCCATCAACCCTTTAGTCTTATTTGTCAGTGTGGGCTACGTGTTCAATAATTTGCAAGAGACAGATGCAGGTCGGGACAGAATGCAAACTGCTATACCAAACCTGCTCCAAACTTCTATAGCAAACCTGCTCCAAGTGTTGGTGGCTCTGCACGACCAAGAGTTGTCCTTTGCACTGCTTCATTTCTGGTCCTGAACTGCTGTACTTCACTCATGCTTCAAGTCTTGAAACATGAAGTCTAAACTCAGCTCTGCATTAGCATAATTCTGCATGCGCTTATTAAAAACTTTAGTATCTAACCTGTTCTGTTCTAGACTTGCAAACTTCTTGGTCCCATTAACTTCTAAAAGCAATTAGGTTCGTTTTTAATTAAGCGCTGGTGAAAAAGAATTGCCTTTTAAAACATTTTCAATTTGTCACCATTTGCTTTCACCGCGTGTCTCCTTGTACTCACTTTGCAAGACTACAAGAATTTCTCACTCTACCTCCTCATTATTTCCTTTCTTTTCATTATGATGTAAATTTGTTTTCCTTTCTAATGGCGATGGTTCCACTATGCCGATTTTGGATATCTCCATGCTTAGGCCCATTTTTGCTGGCATCTTTTTGAACCACTCAGGCTTGGTAGCACAGCTCCTGCTCTGCATGCCTCACTGGTTTTGCTCCCAAAAATACAGACAGCACTCAGTTGAATTTCACATCCATACTGTGCAGGGGTGCATCCACTCCGTGTTTATAACAGGACCAAGCTCTAGAATGCTCAAAAAAGCTCCCATTGATGGCTTGAGCTCTGAATTGATATTGGATTTAGGAACAACAGGGACTGACAGCCTATCAGAGATTCAAGGAGGAAAACGCAGAAGCAGAAAATAAATAAATAAGTAGTCTGTCTTTACCAAATGTCTGCCTGACTGGTTAAGGCTTTTTTGGACGCTGTCAGTTGCATGTGTAAAAAAAATGGCCCATTCACAAAAATACACTTACACTACAATTGTTAGACATGACATTTACACGTCACTGTTAATTATAAATGACTTGATCCTGACATTTCATTAATACATTATGAAAGCCATAATGAAACCCTATGAGCCGTGTGTCACACCTGTAACAAAGACAAGCTCAAGAGAAATCACAGTCATGTCACCAGACCTTGGCAAAGGGTGGAAGGGGAAAACGGCAGAGGGGTGACTCATGCTTGGAGTGGGTTTATCCTCAGCAGCCTGAAAGGGACGGGGGAAGCCCTGCACCCCAACATTTGCTCCTCTGCAGCGTGATGCAGTTGTTCCGCTACCTGAACACAGGAATCTCTGAGCACGTAGATGGAAAATGGAAATCGAGGACCATATATTGGCTACCCTGCCTTTAAACTGTCATTTTAGACAAGGCTGGAGCACCTAACTGCAGACAAAACTGTTTTCTGCAGATATAGTAGGAAAAAAGGAGAAATAGAAGTAAGCAGGAGGCACTGTGTTGAACACCGAATTTCAGAATCTTTCCCTGTCTGCCCCAGAAACCTGATTCTTGAACTTATTTAACCAAGAAACAGGGCCATGACATTGCACAAAGAGGCTAATTTCACATGTAAAAATCTGATTTGCTTCGGGAGAATACATTTTATATTATGAACCTATGAAGCTAAATATACGCAGCTGGGACTGCCTGGAGATCAGTGAAGTCAGGGCAACCAGAAGTCCTGCTCTGGTCAATAAAGAAACATGTGAAAAAAGAAGCCATTCCCCCCCACCTCAATAAAATGCTTTGGATCTTTTGGGCCATACAGAATTTCCAACCCTTGGAAGTTTTTATCAGGAAGTTAAATGCTGGCAGCCCAACACCACGCATCCAGGAGTTTGGCTGTGACTGGAGTCTGCTGAAAACTCACTCTGGAAGTGCTGAACTTCATCTGCTTTCATACCTAAGCTGCAAACCTACAGCAAATCTGTGATAAGGTGAAAGTGAGAACGAGAAGAAAAATGGTGGTGAAAAAGAGACGTGTGCTCAGATCTCTGCTCTGCCTCAAGCCGTTCGTTTCACATAGAGTGTCTGAATGCAGAGCTGGTCTCTAGCACCTAATTCTTTTATTTTCCAGCTGCACTGCAATCAGTATCTGTATCTAATGGAAAGGACGTATTTTTTCCTTATAGGTTATACTGTGTGACTCGAACACAGACAAAAAGAACTTCCCTCCTTCAGCAATTTGCAACTTCAAAAGAAGAGAGGAGACCATTTCTGAGGTCCGGGCTTTGAATCTCTGTAATGAAATTGTCTTATTTTTAACTGTCTGAGCAGCTTTCAAGCAGAAGCGTGTTAGAATTCATATTAATTTGTGCAGTACCCTATCATCATCATAATTTCGTTCACAAGGTTGCTGTGCTTGGAATTCCAGTTATGACATGAATTCTATACATTTTATACAGATTTATAAATGGCATCAATAGAACACTTAGGGCCTTATTCATTAAACAATGAGTCATTCTGGCATTCCATTCTATTTCATCCCTGTTCTTGCAAAACTTTTATGTATAAATTTGACTGTACTTAATGCATCTGATTTAGGAGCAGAAGTGTTGCAGCATAGTTTCAGCTGGGTGTGGAAGCAGATGAAAAGCATTGTTTAAGGAAAAAAAAAAAAGAAGAAAAAAGAAAGAAAGGGAAAAAAAAGATCCCTCCAACAGTGAAAGTTTTTGAATTTCAGTTTCCTTTCTAAAGGATGAGCATTCAAGGCCCAGGAGACAGCCCTGCCCAGACTTCTCACTGCCACAGGTTGGCCCATCGAAGGACAGCTGTGAGGCAGCTCAGAAGATGCTTGTGGGGCTGCATGCAATCAAATCCCATTATTTGTGGATAAGCAAAGTTCTTCCTTCTTCATCACTGTTGGCTGGCACCTTTCACAGCCATCACAGCCATGTGAAAACACAGAAGCAAAAGAGAATTTGCAAGAATGTGCTGTTTCAAGTAATACCTTGCTGCCCAGCAAACCAAGAAATTACTGTAGAATACAACACCTTATTAATTATTCTTTAAATAAATTAGTGGTGTCGAAAGAGATATGGCTGAGCCATAAGAGGCTCCAACACATTCCTCAGTAAGCAGTTTACAACTGTGACATCAGCAAATCCTAATAATGATACTGCAGGACCACAGCAGGTAGTTTTCAGAATAACTTCCCTAGTGACCTAGAACCAAAGTAAGACCCATTACCTACCTTTGAGGAACCTACATTACTAGTAGTGACTAGCACTATGTCTACCTAGCAAAATATAGGACAATTTTTTGGTAAATATCATCTTAATCTGCTTAAAGTACATAAAATAGCAGTGAAGTCACAGTGTCTTCAGGGGTTGGCTACCAGTCAATGGGAATCTGTCCAAACTGTTCTCATTCCAACCACTTGCTCCAGATAAACCTACACGTACTACAAACTGCTCCCCAGCTTACAGTTCTGTCACTTCAGAGCATCTCATGGCATTTTACCTTCTCCTCATCCTTCCAGCCATCCTCCCAACTACACGGGATGCATGGTTGCAAATTCTGTACGGCCTGCTGGAGCACAGCTGTCTCAGGAGTCACTGCTGCTCTATCAAATTTGACAGAATACGGACTCAGAAGTATTTGGGAAGGAAGAGGGCACGGATACAGAGATGTACATGAACCAAGTGAGCACATTAGCTGCCTTTTCATTGGAAACCATTCCAAGACCTTATTGCTCCTGGGATGCTTGTGGTTTTCTTCATGAGGTATACAGGCAGCAGAGCCTATTTTGGGTCTTAGTCAGCCACAGTAAATTTGGAATCCATTTCACTACATATTCTTCTACACTATCTAGCACCAAGCAATCACCATGCCAAGAAATGCACAACACTATTTACACTCATTGCCCATAATAGAGAATAGGGATGCGTGCTCCAACAAAGTGCACCATCTCATTTTCATTACTTCTCCCATCATGATATTTCTAGCACTTCCCTTCGTATGTCAGACTTAAAAGGACAAAAATCAGATCAAAGTTTAGATTCCATTATCAAAGGACAAACAATTTTCTAGGGGGTGGATTGTTTCTTTTTCATTTTACATTCCAGTGGAAATGTTCTCTGAAAAACAGTTACTATCTCTCCTACTGTTCACAGGAATAACTGAATAAAAACTAGGAATGGAACAGCAATGGAAGAGAAGGAAATTAGGACACTTCTGTCTGTTCATTGTGCAAGCAGAGAGAAACAAGACTGGCAATTAAAGGAACCGTTCAGGGCTAGACACCTTCCTTTTGCTTCCTCCTCTTCTAATCTACAGCTCATGAGCTGCTCCTTTACTCATTGCAAAAGGTCCATAATTGTAACACTGCCACATTCTCCTGGAAATCTACTTAAATGGCATATGATAGAAGCCATATGATGGAAGCTTAATTACATAGAGGGCATATGGAAGGCATATGACATAAGGACATATGGAAGGCATATGATAGAAGGGCATCCGAGGACATATGATGGAAGTCTAATTAATTGACAATACATTCCTCTCATCAGGGGGAAAGCTGGAATGCTGCTTTGTTCGGAAGAAAAATATGCACACTGAATTATGGTTATTGTTAACTCCACTGTACCACTGACCATCCTCCTTCTTCATTGTTACCTCTTGTTCTTTGGAGCAGATAGATTATTTGATTTACACATCCATCTGGCATTAAGTTTGATAGCCACAAGTACGTGTGTTACTACACACAGTCATCATCTTCCAACCTCACAAAGTACCCTCAGAATTGTACAAAGCAGGTCTACAATGCTGCCACCAAAAAGGAAAGCAAGCTGTTCTTATTTGGGAATCGTTACCATGAATATGTAATGTTTTTCCTAGAGAAGTACCAAGCAGGTAAAGAATCGACCATTGCAGAGTGGTGTCCACTAACTCTGTGCTGGATGTGGGTCAGCACAGTTTGTGGATTTACATCAGCTGAAAATGTGCACTTCCAACAAGATTTATGGGGCTGAGAAATAAAGCAGCCTAAAGCATACACACAGCAGCAGTCCTAAATGAAACTGATACGATGGAGAAGCAAACCACCTTTACAAGATATGACCAGAAGCATCAGTCTTTGAAACGCCTACTTTAATTGTAAAAGCCTAGGAAAAAAAAAAAAAAACTTGGAAACCACCATTTTAGCTAACTGTAATCATTAATGGAGATTCCCTAAGAACAGCTCTCCTGGGGACTGTGTAGATTTAGGTACTTTCACACAAACCCTTACAGGTTTTATCTGGAAGCATCAGTGCCAGCCTCCTACCTTTCTGAGAGGCAAGGAGTGCCAGCTCTCACTCTGCTGCTGGCACGGCCTCGCTCAGCTCCTGGGGCAGAACTAACCCAACCAGTCACCAGCTAACGCCAGGGGAAACCCACTTGCACATCTCAGTAACAGACACAGTGCAGGACGTTTTCCTTGTTACCTTTGGAGACTTCTGCTTGCTGACCATGAAGGCAATAACACTGATGTGTTGTCATGGTGCTTTTTAGGAATGTAACACATGGAGCTGCTCGAATGCTAATAAAGGAAGACAAGCATTACTAGTCCACTGAATTTGCTAAATATTCGATAATATGGTACCAATAGGTTAAAAAAAAAGAAAAAAAGAAAGTGCTGAGAGAACGAACATCTGTGAAGTTCTGGAGAGGCAAAAGAAAAGTTTTTCCAGCTCATCTTACCTGCTCTTTCCTGTTCCATGTGTCCAGAGCAAACACTGCTGAGGAATTATGGTCGCTCATCACGCCGCTTTGTGCAAGACCCAAGGAAAGCTAGGAGGTTGTACAGTTATCTCCCTTGGTGTAATTCTAAACTATACAACCTACTACCTCAACCTGGATGCATGCAGTCAAAAATGCTGAAAGCCACCCACCACTTCACAGCCGACATTATGTCAGGGGTTCAATTAAAAAAATAGTAATGATAAAAAAAAAAAAAAAAGTCCTCAACGCTCTCAGTGCTCTAATTTGGAAGTAATAAATGTTGTGTTGGTGAAAAGGCACCAAACCAAACGCAACGTAAGACACGGTAAGCCATGGTTATTGCTGCTAGGTATAAACCAGATCGTGGACGCTTTTCACGCAAGAAGGAATTTTGCTCCTGGCCAGAAAAATAAGGCTTTTTTCCTCCTCTGTAGCAGATGCATCTGGACTACAGCACAGAACATACACATACATTTCCTAAAGCTCTCAGAAAGGTTTAGGGTGAAGTTTGTCCTAACACGTCTTTTCCTTTTTGAACACGTATAGCATCGACTCTGGAACATCCATCTTGGCTCCTGAGCATTTAAAGGATGATTGCAGAAGTGGGATTGGGAGAACTGCAAAAGCGGGTTGAAACATTTAAGTAAATTTTACCCTTGCATCGATTCCTTGCTCAGATTAATGCTTTTAGATAAGCAATACTGAGCCTGTCTCAGCAGTCAGAATAAGACAGTGTTCCCTTAACAAGGAACTCATTACATTTTTCACTTGTATTAGTTCACAGTCAAACAACCAGGATGTTATCTTTGTGACTCATTCCCATTACCCACCAAGCTAGTGCTTAAAGCAGTATGCTGCCTATTTATTACAGCTTACAAACAGGGATTAGCATCTTAAAATATGCCAGTGCAAACAGTGGAACTGAATCAGTCCTGAGATCCTGCTCTCAGGTGAATGCATCCTCAGGCACAGCGGCTCTGTGCTGGAAGGGGATTACATTGGAATCAGAGCTCATGAATGAGTGCTGAGCTGTGCTGAATAGATGGCATCTTGGTTGCTCCTATTTTCCTCGGATAAAGTAGCGTTGCTGATTATGAAGAAGCCAGTGCCCTACCTCTGCATTCAAAGCCTGTCTAGAAGGCACGTGCTGGAATTCAGCTTGCAACAGTGGAAGAAAATTGGAAAGAAAAACAGTATTTCTGCAAGGTTTAAATGCGCTCTGCTGTTAATAGCATTAGTGGAATTTCTAATAACTGCGTATTCAGGAACGTTTATTTTGAACTGACAGGCTCTGTGGATATGGCACAGTATCTCAGTTAATGGCACAGTATGGCACCATAGCAGGACAGTCACTGTTGAGCACTCTATTTCTCAGAACAACGATCCAGACACACAGTTGGATCAGGACACCACAGTTCTCCAGCCCCGCTCCAGACCAGCAGCTTTACTGCTGTCCAAAAGCACCCTGAATCCTTCCTTGACACAATTCCACCCTTTTGTGCATTGAGCATCCAGAGATGTAACCCGTGTAGCTCTATGGAACCCAATGAACCTCATGTATGGTGGCAGGAGGCCCCACATCCCACTCAGTTATGTGACACAGGAGGTGTGTTGCCTCTCCTGACTTCTTCAAAAGTCCCATTTCACATTCTGCAGCTGACAGAGCTTGTTTACAAGCTAAACCATTTCAGCATCACGAGGATAGGCTACACGTGTTCTCTACAGTTTATCTGTGAAGTACTTCCCTGCATCTCAACTTTGCTACAAACGTCAGAAATAATGCAATTCAAAACATTTAAAGAATGGTTATCAGCATCTAATCATTCTAATGAAGGAGATCACTGCTAACGTCAGCACTGTGATGGGACACCTTGCAGACCAGGCAGTTACAAACAGTGCTGAGCAAAACATCCTCCAAGAATTCACTCCAAAATAGAAAGGGAAGAAAAACTGGCTTGTTTCAGTCACATCCTCAGCTCAGCAAAGGTCCTTTCACAGACATAAGAGAAAATACTTCATGAGCAATATTCTCACCTTGAGCCTAAATAGCCTAAATTTTTCGCAGGTTGGCAAATGCCACCGTGACTGCTTTGCTCCTGACTCGCCACCTCTCCCTGCCTCCCTTCCATCACAACTTCAGCTTCCTCCTCATTGCCACGTTTCCCGAGCCCTGAGCTGTCAGCTCTGTGCTGGCACTCACTCAAGGAGCGTTCTCGCTGCCTCCCCAGCACTGCAGGGAGCTGGGAGCTGCACCCCGCTGGGCTTCCTCCCACCCCAAGGTGCTGGGGCAGCATCCCAGCATGGGGCAGGGCTCTCACCGAGACAATATTCGTGTCCCAGTTCCTATACATCCCTTTACACCAGCTCCCATATACCCAAAGCCCCTTCAAAACAATGCGATAGGAATAAACAAGCCTTTCTGTGGACCTGTATGTGACCTATGCTTGCTTCAGAGCTGCTTTAAAGAAAAAAACAAAAACAACAAAAACAGAGACTTTAAGATAAAGTATTTTTAAACACTGAAGCAGTTCCTGTCCCATACTCACCCTTCTGGCCAATTTTTAGACACCCCTGCAGCTGCTGAACAGATTATCAGGGCGAGATTTGCCATCACTGAGAGCCTGGTCTCAGAATGAGATATTCTGTTCCCACCATTTCAAGCTCAGATGAAGCCAGGATGGATGAAAGTGTATTTGCACCCCGGAGGAACAGTCATTTCAAGCAGAAAAGAAGCATCACGCAGCTAGTCATGCCATCAATTAGAGTATCTGCTGCTACTACTGACACGAGGAGCTGAGCTGAGGAGCTGAGATCAAATATTAAAACAGAAGTCACCTAATTACCATCACCCAGCACCTTCACTACATCTGTCTGTTTGGTAATTGCCTATGAACCAGGAATGTTGCTCTTCTGGGAGGAGAACAGGAGAGATTTCCAGCACTGCTGTCTATTATAGCACTGCCTTTTGGTGGCGTGACTCCCCGTGTTTGTTTTTGGGTGATTTTAGTCAATTATGTCTTTCCTCAATTAGCACAATCATACGTAATTATGTAATTAGGGTGAATATGTAATCTAATGACAATGTTCAATTATGATACGTATCAATGTTATAAAAGTCTCTATTAAATATAGTTGTGGGGAGCATTGCATTGCAATGCAGAGCCACACATTCCTACGTAAGTTAATGCATCTTCAGAGTGAACAGCAGCCCATGGACCCCAGGCAACATCAGATGGAGGTGCAGGTGGAGCCTGGATGGGGAAGGAATGCAGAGCTGTGCTCGTTTTACCTCCTTTTCCCCCCAAGGACTTCAGGTGACAGCAGAACACAGAAACCTGCCTTCCTTACTCTGTGTTGGACGAAGCCAAACTTTACATTTGGTTTCCCAAGAATGTTGGCTGAATTCTAATCCAGCGCTGCTTTTCAAGGATTTAATGGAATATTCCATTCTTTTAAAACATTCTGCAATGCAAAGCAGCACATTCCATAGAAAAACAGCTCTTCAGAGGGTATAATACCCCCCAAAAAACAATGACACAAAAAGCAGTGCCCCACATATTGCTACTCCTAAACTATACCACAGCGTGTCTGCATTCGCAGATCACTCCTATTGACCATACAGAATTGAGACAGCAACGAATGGAACTTCAGGACAGATGAGCTCGAGGAAGCAGAATTCTGTTTTGTTATGATCAGCTGCAAGATGATCAGCTGAGATTTGGCTCTGAGCCTTTTTGATCGTGAAGGATACAGAAGAAAGAAGAGCCCACCTTCACGTTCAGATCCCAGGCAGGCAACAGCAGGGCTTGCCAAGGAGGAGGTGGAAAGCAGAAAATACTCCTGAAGCAAACACATTTCCTGAAGTCATGGAGAAAAAAAAATAAATACCCAAACCCACAAATGATATTGTTCCGGTTTGAGGTCAGAAATCTTGTTTGCTAAACTTCAGCTCGGAGTGATCTGTTCAACAGAGGGCTTTCAAAAACCTCAGGCAGATGAGATTTGACAATGGAAATGCTGACGTGGTTCCATCTGATCAGCTCACCCATCGAGCTTTGTTTGATGCAGTTTCACTATCAGGACTCGAGTTGAGGAACCTCAAGAGGTTTGAAGGTTTACTCCAGCTCAGGTTTACTCCTAGAAGCCTGGCAGGTGGGCTGAGCTGGGCTGGGACTTTCAGAGTCTGCAAATTAAAGTAAGAAATCTCATCTGGGCTCAGCTGACATCCAGAGCAGCTACAGTATTATGAAAGCGACCCAAAACTTTTCAACACATTACAAAAATGGTCCGTGCTTGAATTTTTAGCAAGGGTTACAGCAATCTGAAGATTTACTCAATATCACATTTCAGGATCTGGTAGTTTCTAGGGGAAGGGTAGCCAAGCTCTTACTGCTGAAGCACGGAGAGCTTTGTGTCAGTAGCTGGGCCCAGGAGTGGCTCAGTGATGCTGGTAGGCAAGCTGCATGGCTGATGACTCTAAATAATCCCCAAAACCCACAGGCCCAGGTCTGTTCTATGGCTGAGCAGACCATACTGCTTTATGGGAAGGTGGGAAGCTAAGAGAGCCCAGGTTGAACGTTCTTGTTGGAGACTCTGCATAGCATGAGGAGGTCCCAGAGCCAATGCTGGTTTTGCAAGGACGTTCCTCCTTCAGATCACTGGGGCTGAAGCTCCTACGTGATGAAGACTGCCTGGCTCAAGGATGGGGGTCTTAGTCCCAAACACCCACGTCTAAGAACATCTCTCCCTATTTTCTCCCTCACTGATTAAAAAACAAATAAACAAAGAACTAATTTAAATAAAAAAAAAAATTCAGATTACTGAAATAGTAATTTATCTGCCTTTTAGGAGTTCGACGAGATTTGATCATCTGAATAAGACTGTTTGGATAAGGTTCAAATTCCAGGGTACACAATCACATTCTGCTTATCATGATTCCCATTTGCCACTGCATATGGTTATCCTAATTACCCGAATGCTATTGTGTGCTCCTCTCTGCTGACACCGCTCGCTGTGCTCTGCACCAGATGAGACTGGGAAAAGGGGGAGCACGCAAGTGAAATCATTCTTGCACCCCAGCGGATGCTGTGCAACACACCTGTCTGCAAATGGCCTTTCAGTGAAAGGTGCCATTAACAGAAAGGAGAAGCAGTCTTGTTATTTTGAGGGAGAAAACCATGATTTACCAAATCTGAAGAACAAGAGGAGCTCGCTTTGGTAAAGGTTTGCTTTTTTTCTTCAGGCAAGAACTTTTGCCTCTGCACTAACTGGAGAAACGGAGCAACAACTACTGTTAGCAGAGCTTCCCTAGATGCACACATAGCCAGGTCAGTTCCACTGGAGGCATTTTTTCCTGGGAGGTGCAAAAGCAATGACAGCTTATAGCTAGAGAATGCACTGTGCTGATCAAGGTACCAATTGCTGAGAGGATACTGTGATTTTTTCATGTCCCAGAGGCCCTCCTGGTACATTCTGCATGAAGGGCTCTGGTTTGTTTCCAGCTCCAGTAGCTGCCTTGTCTTTCTTTCTATTCCCTGCAACATCAAACTGGGCAAAGCATCCAGCACTCCCTGCCCACGGTGACCCTGCAGCACGCCGGCGCAATGGGATGCAGCCACTGTGCCTCGGTGACAGATGAAGAGATCTCTGTGCACTCTGTCTGGCACTCAGATCAAAGCTGCTGCATAAATGTGAGCTCCTCATCAACTAAGCGAGGGAAAATATTCACGAGAAACATCCAGGTAGAAGCACCGCAGCCTCCAATTAGTTTCTTCCATCCTAGAGGGAAGACACATTTCAAGGTTCTTCCCATCATTTTGTCAGACTCGAGTTTCACTCTAAAACTTAATGAAGTGCAGTGAAATACAACCAATGGAAAAGACATACAAATTAACGCCAAAAACACAATACAGCTCTTTTCAAAAGGCTGAGCTGAAAAACAAAGGGGCTGGGGAGAGTAACAGAGGCTACGGCTAAAAAAGGCTGGCAGGAGCCTAGCAAAGAAAATTAACTAAAATAAATTAAAAAATTAGTGACGTGTTGTGGGTGTGCTCTGCACCATGTCCACTTGTCCCCCAGACTATGGAGCATCTCCAGCTCACACTGGGCTGAGCTGCTGCATCCCCATGCAGGGGCACAGCTGCCCTTGTCCTTTGCCAAGCAGCAGAAAACCAGCAGCGACCAGAAAGCAAGCTGAGCACCAGAAGGGAGCCCAGCAGCACGGGCAGGCAGCTGATGGCACATCGCTCATGTTTGCTTTCTAAGCATCCAGCCATGGTGAGGTCAAGTCTCTCTCCAAAAGAAGAAAGCTGGATATTGATCAGCAGAGCCCAGCATGGTGAGGAACTGCACTAAAATACTGTACCCAAAGTAGTTTTGCACTCTTCCCTCTCCTTTGACTCAAATACTGATTCTTCTAATCCAAAAGTATGCTTTCAAATTCCCCACAAGCCCAAGGGTGGTACCTCATTTCGTGACACACGAGCCCAGTTCCCTTGCCATGGATTTTTGGCACTCCCAACGCAATGGCACCTGAAGTGGCAGACTCCAAAATGCTCAGCGACAAATTCCAGGTTTCTCTCAGCACATTGCCAGATGCCTGATGTCTCCACATGGCTTTACAGGGAAGAGACCACCATGCACAAACACACATTATACTGGGAACTTCACTTGTCCAAATCACTCCTCTTCAGAGGTCAGACTGAATCAGCCAAGGCTTCCCTGATAGCCACAAACACAGGAATCTAATACACTGAATATTCACAGCATTTAAAAACAAAAGAAAAACAGCAAAACCATAACAGCTTCTCTAGAAAAAACGAACCTCACTGTCACAACATGCAATCTCATCCTGCATCTACTGCAGGAGAAACCCTATTCGTTCCACCACGGCAGATACAACGTCCACTAGCAGAGGGGAAGGAGGAGTCAGGAAGCACTTTTTGAGCACTGGGAGCTTCCAGCAACTTCACAGGTGATGGCAACCAATGCCCAGGGGAGATCTGGACTCCAGGTGCATTTTCAGGGCAGTAAATCACAGCAAGGCTTCACTGTGGCTTTGTAACAGCTTTGCCTGGAAGAGCATCCTGCATCCTTCTTGGTCACCTCTTGCTAGTTTCAATCCACACGGAGAAACAAAAGCAGTTAGACTGCAGTTCTGTTAGCTCTCTGCCATTGTTTTATGCATCTACAATAAGTAGAAAACACATAGAAAACCCTGGAAATTCAGCAAGGGAGGAAAAAAAAAAAAACCAAAAAAAAAAAAACCATTTTTGGACCGCAGCAGTGTGTGTCAAACCAGCCAAGTTCAAAAACAGAGAAATTTAAAAGTGGAAATACAGACCAAATCTTTGGTGAAATTAACACTGGAAAGAAACAGTCAGACTTTATTTTGAGTTCACATTCTAATTATTTTCACATAGGATCTGTATGTTGGGGTTGAAAAAAACTTCTTCAAAAGTAATTGTTCCACTTAGAAATGTCAGTTTTGCCCAGCAGGTTTCATACTGCCTGCTTACATGGGTTTTTCCCCTGCTCTACTTTAAAAACCATTTGAAACGAAATAAATACCACAAAATTAAGAGAACCTGGCTTCTACACTGAGCTGATTTTAGAGGGAGAAAGGAGTTGGAGAGCCAACGGGAGGCTGTGGCGCTGAGCTGCACGGCTGCACTGTGCACAGGGACTGAAGTTACCCAAAATAAAGAACACAACAGAAGCACCTCTTGCTCCCACAAACAAATCGTCACTGAGCGAAGAACGGATCCCCATCACTTTATAAATGAAACAGCTTTCTCTGCTCCCAACAACCTCAGAGCCACCCCTGCCCATGCCCCGCAGCCAGACCCACGTGTAACGTAGCTGAGATTTCATTTCTTCAGGCTGATGTCACAGACCTCCCCCGTCCCATTTCGCTCAGGCACAAACGAGTTGTTAGTTGGTATGAACGTATTTTAACACCTAACCCAAGCTGGAAACCGATACGGTAATTGCAGAGCGAGATTTGCAGCTCTGATTTTACATTTCTTAAAAAGAAAAAAAAAGGAGGGAAGAAGGCATTAGACGAAAGAGACAAACAGCAGAATCGAACATCATCAGTGTAAATGCAGAAACACAACACTTTGTGCACTTGCCAGACAGACACATACCTATAGATACAAGCTTGTGTGGAATATGACCACAAGTTCGGATCTACGGGTTTGTGGCAACAGGCATGGGTCTCTTCTGCAATTTGTTAGGTTTGGCTTTGGGCTTTGGTTTGTTGGTTTTGTTTTTGTTTTAAAAGAGGAAAAGCATTTCTGCAAATGAAATGTCAGAGCTGTTAGCAGGCAGCAGCCTTCGTGCCCCTCAGCACCTCAACGCCGCTTCCCCCAGGGGGGAAGAGCCGCCTCTTGGCTTTGCTACACCATTAGCACTGTTGCTACAGTTCCCTTCAAAACCTCAGTAAAACAAAACCAACTTTAAAATAAATAAAAGAAAGCAGGAGATCAGCGGGTTTGTTGGTTTTGTTTTTGTTTCTCCTACTTCACTGATGGTTACACAGCACTGAAAGAGTCATGGCCAGCACCAGCGGCGTATCGCTAACGGTGCAGCCAGTTAAGAAAGAGCAGTTTTTGTGTGCAGACAGCAGTGCAATAAACACATACCCCCATCCCGCAAGAAGTGGTCTCGTTTCCATGCTGGCAGCCCGGTGGAAGCAGAGCAACTGCCTCAGAGTTGTTTTAACTTTCAGAGAAGTCATTACTGGGCCGGGGTGCTATTGTCATTCTATTTTTAAAGAGAAAGAATCCTTTCGCTTCACGAACCGATCCAGAAAATTCCCCCAGCTCCAGCTCTCTGCTATCTGACAGCATTTCTTCCTACAATGACAGAGACAGATATTAAACTGCTTTAGAATTTTTTCTAATAAGTCCTCGAAGAGAACTGGGGAGCAAAGTTGCCAGCAAGAAACCTCCCCTCCTTCCCCCAAAGTTTCCAAGTTTTCTTGCTGGCGTAACTAACATTAATGAAGTTTTATTGGGTGGGCAACTGGTAGGGAATTAGGCCACAGAGCAGGCTGCCTGGGAGCTCCAAGTGCAGCCTGTGCACAGAATCAGTCAGAGCAATTGTTGCTTAGAGTGTATCCACATTTTTTACTTGCTGCGTCTTCTCTTCCTTCAGATTATTCCCTATAAAATGAAGCAGTCAGCACGTGGAAAATTATTTTGCTATTTTGATGCTTTCAAAAGTTCCCCCACTTCTTGTGTAGGCTCTTAAAATAAAACACTTCAACCTGCGCACCCTGGTAAGCATGCAATTAATACACACAATTTTCTTTTATTGGAATACTGCTTTAACTGAGTTATGTGCAACTCTTGCTCCACATCCAGCAACAGAGATGTTAAACTTTCACCATCTGTCCAAAGGTTATCTACTAAATTGATTGCCTAAATTTCTATTCCTACACTTCAGACTGCCATACCTACCTTTATAGCATTCGGCTTTTCCAGAGTTCTCAGCACCCAAAATTCAGACCAAGAACAGGAGCTGCAAGGGTTCGGCATCTGTGCAAAACCAGGAAAGCTTTTAGGTAGGAGCCCACGTGCAATGAGAATCCCCAGCTTTCCAAAGGCCTTCACCCTGCAGCGCGTGCACTCGAGGCAATGGGGCAGAGAGCACATGGTCCTGCAGGCAGAACAGAGTCACGTCATGCACAAACACACTCCCTGTGCACTCCTTTGGAACTGAGCTGCAAACGGCATATAACAAATGCTGCCCTACCAAAAATAACCCAAACCCTCCAACCACAGAGCTCATTTATTACAGGGGACCTAAGGCTGTGATTCAAATTGTCTCTTGACCCTCCCGATCGAGCCAAATAAGCACAGTGTTAGGAGTCAGTCACACTGCTGCTGCCTCTATCAGCATTTCATACAATGGCAAGGATTTTTTCCATCAGACCTTTGTAAGTCAGTCCCATGCTATAATGCAATATTGCATAACAGAGTATTTTTTTTAAGAGTACATTCATTTTGACCCTAATTTTCTCTACTCTGATGTATATGCGTGAAGGTAGTATGATCTGCATGCCTCTGCTGGCAAAGAAATCCCTCATTTTTTTGTGTGAGAAAGGACTGATCTCACTGAAGCACACATCCTATGCGAAGGTTACACTTCTACTAGCTTTCCCTGGCTCTAAATCTTTGTTTTTCTCCCTAATATCTCACAGACTCGTTTTCTAACCACTGGGATATAATTGAAGCCCTTGAAGGCAACCAAGTGGTGGCGTGTGGGTGGCCTGCACATACCTCCTGTGGCAGGACGTGTGCCCTCAGCTTGCACTGGTTTGAATGGAAACTGCAGGCACCCAATGCACTTCAGCAACTTGTCCTCATCACTGAATGATTACAGAGACAGAACAAGGCAGACCGTCCGAGAGCTCACTGCGTGCTCTTCAGAGCAGCTGGTAGGTGTTGACCAAAAACCAAAACATGCTCTTTCTTCAGCTGCCTAAAAGAGAGCTGCTCTGTGCTGCAGTTCTGGCCCTCCATCTCCCAGCACCTCTCTACCTGACTGCTTCACAGAACAAAAGGGAAAGACCGAGCGTTAGGCTCCATCACCATAGCTTCAGCTGTTAAAAAGGGAAAGAGAAGGCAGAAGGAGCTATCTTTAGCAAAGCACCTATGTGTGCCAAAGAAAACACTCCGTCAGGCCCCCACCATGAATCTCATCGACCACTTCTGTGCTCCTGTGGGCCCCGCAGAAAGGCAGCGTGGTGGCACACAGGCTGCATTCAGTGGCACCTACGTGCTGCAAATGACAAGTGCCCAGCAGCCAACCTCTTCCTTTTCATGCTTTTTGCAAAAGAAACTCATGGACAATTTCTGAGACGGTGAACTGATAGGGGCAGCAGCAAGTGAGCAGGGAAACACAAGGATTATTATTGTTTTTAAATATGTTACTGCTTGGAAAAAAAAAAAAAAAAAATTAATTTCACGTATATCAGCCGTATTCAGGGAGATTGAAGGAGTGCCATAGGTTACACAAGATGTGGGTTTCAAAACGCTTCCCCCCACTGATCAATCATACAGCTATTGTACCTTTTGAAAACCTGATGAACATACACACAGTGGCAGAAAATCTATGGTAGGCAAACAAATCAATCGTCTTCGCACTGTATTTGACTGGAATGCTAAGATCACAAATAAAAAGCTTCCACCTGCACCTCACGGATTGTACTCCTTACATAAACGATTGTGATATCCTTATCCCAAGGATGCTTTGCTTCCCTATTAATTTTATGTCAATGAGCGCGGGATCAGCACAGCTATGGTTCTAGAGCCTGGCACCCAAAAAAAGCACAACACCTTTGTTTAGCATTAAGCCAGCCTGAGACTGGCATGTTCTGGATTTACAGCCAAAGGAATATAGGAAGCAACATGGAGAAATAAAGTCTCTAAAGACATAACGTTGGTTTCGGTCTGTGGGTGGTATTCTTGCAAACCACAAAGCATAAATGCCCTGTCCAGGAAAATCGATCATTATGGAATGCATTGTGTGCCTGAGCAAAGCACTGTTTGCAGCCATTTCGTACTTCTGCCACGAAAATAAGTCAAATAAGAAAAACAACCACTAAATAATTCCCATTCTTTTTCTTTACCTCCCGCCCCAATCTATTTAGGCTTGTAAATACATACAAATATATATACACGTATATATTTATGTATAGACACACACGCTCTCTACCTTCAGCACAAAGACCTGTATCAATAGATTTCTGCACTGAAATAATGAGAAGAAATTGTAAGGAAAAGGAAGGCAGTGAGTGGAGAGGCGAGGAGAAACCCAATTACCTCGTAGCAGCACTTGATGAGATCCCTTACCGAACGTGCGCTGCCATATTGCTAGGCCCAACTCGACGAGCAGTGCTTTCTGGAAGACAAAATATTTACGGATATTTTCATGGCCAAATCTCAAGAAATGGATCCCACCTTCACACACGCAGAGGCTGCAGCCTTAGAAGCAAAAGGAACAGACAATCCTACGGGAGGAATTCCTCCCCCCACCCGACTTTCCCCCTTTTTAATTTCATTTTTTAGGGAAGCTGATTTTCCACGTTCCACCTCGATCCATTCCTGCCCTCCCCAGCGCAGCGATTCCAACCCACGGAAACAAAACATTTCTTGCAACACAAACATCTCAGAACTTTGCCAATTCTATCGGCACCAAAGCGATTAAGACAAATAAAGCGCCGTGGAAGTTGTAACAGCAAACGCATCCCCTGCTAGTTAGTAACACGCATCCACTTCTCCCACTGATTAGTTATCATACAGAGATCCTTATCCAATTAAAGTTTGATAAAACAGAATCAAATAGGAGGATCGTTACCTGCTTTTGAGAAGGTTCACCAGGCAAGCATTTTAAGCTTTTTGACTCTTTTAACACTGATACAAGGAATAATTATTTCTCGCTGCCGATGCGATTGTTAAAAGAAGCGAAACCCCGGATTGTGGTGGCTTCGTGGATGCTATTCTTTTTGCACCACAGCAGGATTCTTGGCTGCCAGTCCAAGCTGCTTTCACTTGCCAAGTTTTAAGATGCCGGTTTTGCCTTTCATTTTATTGTTCCTTTCGCAACGTTAAAGACCGACTTAAAAAACCATGCACAGCTGCTATCGGGGAGGGGGGGGAATTATTTGAATTTTGCACAAGAATGGAGATGAGGAAGGAGCGCTCTGTGATGTAACCACAACGACACCCACAGAAATAGTCCGATATTGGGGGGGACGGGCTCGGCGCTCTGAACCCTGCCGTCTCCCTGCAACGTGGTTGGGATCTGGCATAAGGACAGGGAGCCATAAAAGCGCCCACATCTCCAGCCAGCCATGGGTGGAGGGTGCAACCTCACCCCCCTTTCACACTCTTAAAATCCACTTACAGCCATTCCTCCCCACCGAAGATCTCAAGCAGGGGGAGCTGAGGTTGGGGAGCGGCCGAACAAAGGGATCCCCCACCATGCACCCATCATGCTGGGAGGAGGCTCAGCACTGCGGTGCCAAAGGCGCCACCCCACCCCGGTTGGGGTCTGCGAACACCTGCACCGAAAGCATTCGTTTATCAGAAGAGAATGATTTATTATTATTATTATTTTTTTTTAAGGAGATTGTGTAAAAGATGGGATGCAATTTTTTTTAAAAAAACACTGTAGATGAATTGAGTTATTTAATTTTACTTAATGGAAAAAACAAACTATCGGGGTTGGTACCAAAACCCAATGCATTTCAATGACTAAAAAGCCACCCAAAGTTGCTCGTGATCCTCCCCGGACTTTGACCAGCCATGAAACGCGCTGCAAGGGCTCCCACCCAAGATACAGATACACCGTAAGGCACAGAGTGATGCAGCCCTTCTGCCTGCTGATGCACACACACCGCCTGCAGCCCGGCTGTGCACCTTGTATCCGGGCACAGAAATCCCTCCTGTGCACACGGCTGAGCACACAGAGGTGTGTGCAGCCCGTCGGGCAGCGCATGGAAGCTGTTTCCAAGCGGCGATCACCCAGGGTGCAACCAGCTCCGACACCAGCTGTGCTGAGCAGAGGTTTACGGCTGGTTTTGCAGCAGAGCAAAGAGCAAAAGAAAAATGCAGCCCTGGTATTTCATATTTTTAAGAGGAAAAAAAAAAAAAAAAAAGAGAGAAAAAGGCTACAGACAACCGAAAGCTCCCGTGAAAAGCAACGGGCTGAAACAAAAGCGGCGTGAATTATTAATAAGAGGGGAAAGAAAAACAGAAGCTTTGTTCTAAAGTGGAGCCATAAGATGTGAAATTTCAAAATCAGATGGCTCGGTCTGTGATTTCTTTCATTTAAATGAATTGATCTGTTGCTAAACTGCTGCTCCCGTGCCAAGAAACTTTAACTCTTTCGGCTCAGAGCTCCCCACGTTCTGCTGTTCTCTCTCCCGAAGATTAAATTGGAAAGCAGAAATTAAAAACCAAAAAAAGGGGGAAAATAAAAAACGAGAGCATGGAAAACGAGGGGGATTAGATCCGCAAGCACAGGCAGAACACAAAAGAGCCACGGGATGGAGCGTCTCAGTGCTTCGTTAGAACTTCTACTGTATAAACAGCGGGATTCTTGTTCTTACAGTGCTGCTAAAACTTGGAAAGGAGACAGAAAGGCCTTCAACCTTCACGATCCCACATACAGCACTGCGGGGCGAGCTCAGCAGAAACACAGTGCCTGCCCTGAGTCGTGGTGAACATTCACTTACCGAGCCTTAAACATTTCCAAAATACCCTTCCTTCCTACGTGTGTTCGCCTATGGGAGAAAGAACAAAAAAAAAAGCAGACTGAGAAGCTCCCCAGAGCAGCCCGAAAGGCTTTGGGAATATTAGTGGAGAGTTCTCAGTGCTTTCCCATTTTGCTCTGGGTTTGTTGTGCCCGCTTAAAAATAAATATTCAAAAAGTAAAAAAAAAAAATAATAATAATAATAATTGAAAACAGACACGTAAGGAAGGATAATTCCAGGAAAAAAAATAGTTATGTGCAGAACAGCGAGAAAAAAAGGTATTTCTATAAGGCATCTCCCACTTTCCAGTTCTGCTGCAGTTCTCCTGAACTGCTGCTGCTCGCTGCAATCTGCTGCCTGCTTAACCACGGAATGACAGGCAACATCTGTTTGTATGGAAGCCAAGATCAAGCCTTCACTATTTTTTTGGCTCCATTTCTTTCTTTTTTTTTTTGTTCCCCTCCCCCCCCAATGCTCTACAAAAAAAAAAAAAAAAAATAGAAGCAAAAGAAAAAGTAAAAGCGCACAGCAAGATATTGAAAGCAACTCAAGTGAGGCAGCAACTATTTTCCCTTGGGTTATTTCAAGGTACAGCACTTGGAGGATAACTCTTCCCTCTCTCCACCCTCCCCTGCTCTCCCCACCCCACATCCTTTCCCTTGCCCCGTGCTATTCATACAGTATCACACACACACACAAATCCAACGTACCTTCATCGCTATATGGCCACTCCCTCCTGTGGGGAGGGGGTTCTTCTGTAGGCAACTACAAAAATGGTACGGGGAGGGGAATGAAGGGACAGCCGTGCCACAATCCTCTCACCTTCTCTCATTTGTTTCCCTCCTTCCTCCATTTTACGGGCTATAAAATGCACGGCGCATATTTCAAAGGCAAAGAATGTGTTTCGAAATAAATAAAC